TATCAGAATCCTAACAAATATTGAGCTGATATTATACAGTTGTGATTGAGAGGTTGAAATTCGTGTGCGAAAACCGCAACTAAGGCAGCCGTTAATTTTGGTTAAAATTAGAGTTTGAAATCCTGCAACAAGCCACGTGTCTGTCGCAACGTGAAATTGAAAATCATGAGATGAAGCGTGAATTGGGGTCAATTTTCTACAAAGCCATCACCCTCATGATATTTTAATTGGCTATTTCTAGTAATTAACATAAACTAATCCCAAGTGTTTTCCCTAATTACAAATGAGAAGTTCAGAACAAGTTTATGTGTTTAAGTTTTTATGGTCCGTGATCACTTTTTAGTACTTTATAATATAATTGTCAATGCATATTTTTACTTTAATTTACCCATAGGTGTTGATACTTTCGAAATTATAATTATAAAATATTAAGGAATTCTAATTGCGCTAATTAAGGAATTGAATTAGTAAGTTATTTATTTTCATTTATCTCTTTTATGAGTCAACGTTCTTTGTATGGTAACTGAAATCAAGTAAATCTCTAATTAATTCAATAGTTTTAAGTACATATACAATTAAACTTATAGTAGTTGTAAAATTATAAATAAATCTAAATCTTGTAGGATAGATGAAAATTTCTCTAGAAATTAAGTAACAAGCTACTTTGTAGAAATTTTCAGGAGTCAAATCAGTAGGTATTGCATTCTGGGCCACAATTACTTTTATTTCCATTGCAGTTAGCCTGATAAGACATTGGGCCATGAGCCCATTAAATGAATCTATTTTCCAAGTAGCGGCCAAGAGTGCCCCCAAGTGCTAAAATGAGCGGTCAGAACCGATGATATGTTTCGGGATTTGACGGGATAAAGCGTCTTGCGAGTGTTAAACATGAGACTTGGAGAATTTCGAACTTTTTGAAATTGAACAAAAAATTAAACGTTGACCGCATGACTTTTTCAGAACCGAGAAATAATTGGTACGGTTCTACAGATTCCACAAATATCTGTACCGAGAACCGAATTGGACAATCCCATACCATACAAACCGAAACTAAGAACCGAATTATAATATTAGATGTGTGTTGTTCACATATTTATATCAATTTAACTATTTTATTTGTGTATTTTTAAAATACTAAATAACATATAGAAATAACTTCATTTAAATTTTATGCTTAGTAATACTTGAACTACAATTAATTTTCCTTTTATGTTTTAAAAGATTATTTATATTATATTTGTTGATACATTTCTTAACCTCATTCTATCTTATAATTAAAATGGTATGAAAGATCAAATAATATATATATATTCTCAATTAAATTTTGAGTTACTTCTAAAGTTGATTTCAAAATAAAATAATTAATTGGTGAAGTATTGTTGAATGTTGAATTTTATTTTATTTTTCTAAAGGCATATACAAATTTAAATATAACTATAAAGTCATTCAAAAAAAATTTAAAAATATCTAGAGTTCCAAACTGAATCAAAAACAAATCGAACAATTCCAATAGATTTGAGTACCGAACCGAACCGAAAAATAATCATCTCCGAATCAAATCATTCCAACTTTTTACACAATTCAAGAGATTGGACTTTTTGGTACTCATTGACTGCCTTTTCTAATCCAAATACTATTGTAGACATCTAGATATTTAAAAATCCAATTCAAATATGCAGCGGATTATATTGGTACAAAACCATAATCATAATCTATTACTATATAATAAGGAGAAGAAAAACTATTTGAAAAACTTTGAAAAAAATATTTCATTTCCCGCTTCTTTAGTCATTCTTTCCCGCTTCTGTTTTTCGTTTTGAACAATTTTCAGCAAATATTTTTGAAATTTTTTGCATGTCCCGCTTAAACAATTTATTAACCAATAAATCACATCCAATGTTTGGCAAGTAAATCACATCCAATTATATATTATTTTAGACTCATTTCATTTCGTTGGGGGAGAAAAAAAAAGAGTCCTTAGATTTTCAAAAGAAAAAGGAATAAATTATTTGATTATTAATCAAAATAAGTAATTAAAAATTATGAAATTATGTGACCTAAGTAATATGTACTTAATATAAACATAAAATCAAATATTGAATATTTAATATCATGAATGATATAAATTTAAATTTACTACTAAATAATTTTTTTTTTTCACGTTAATGTCAACAAATTATTTGATTCAAACAATTTATCATTAAATATCTAATAATCAACAAATCGTGAAATCTCGTGGCATAGCATGCTACAAAAATATGACATCTATTAATATATAAAAAGACAATGATATTTACTTGAAATAGTAACTAAAAATCAATAAAAAAATATTTGGTTTTCCCGCCTAAAAATTCAAAATTACTAAATTGGGCAATTCTTTTTTCTTGCCAAAGTTTGAAAAATCCTGCCTAAGTTAATGTAATTAATGTACAAAATTATTTTGGTCAAATATTGCGGCTATTACCTTTATTTGTTGAATAATTTAAATGTGAAGTATAATATATTGACAAAACTTGCAGCTATTACCTTTATTAGTTGCATAGTTTAAATTTGGTATATAATATATAAAAAAATAAAAATATTTTTATTTAAAATTAAAAATAAAATAAAAAACAATTATTCATAACTTACGGGTCAATATTAACTTGGACGTGAATGAAATAGTCAATTATTTATAGTTCAATAAATTACTCAACTACTTAATTTTTTTTATTTGAATAGTTTATACAAAAATAAATTATTTTAAGTAATGAAACAATATAAATTTTATATTTATAATTATTATTCACATATGTTGTTAAATATATGATAAAATTTTACCAAAATAATTGTTTTATGTAATCACATTATAGTCAAATCGAATTTTTGAATAAAAAATTTAAAATGACACTTATTTTGAAACGAATATAATGTAATTTATTATCAGTTATATGTATCCATGGGTTGTGTACTAATTTTAAATAGACATTTTTATGTAATTTTTCACAATTTAAACTTTATATAATATTTTCAACAAATTAATATAGGTATTTGATTCTATATTTTTAATTTACAAATATTATTTAATAAAAAAATTTTAATTTATAAATATTAATGAATATCTCTTACCCGTGCAGTGCACGGGACTCATACTAGTTTTCACAATATACCATAACATAAAACAACAACCAGCTTTATTTATTATTAGGGAAGAAAGTCGAGAGAGTTGACCATGAAATAGGTCCTCTCTACGTACATTCTACAACGTTTATTTAACTAGCTCTTTTGCTACACCACTCATCAGTATTTCACTTTCGAGATACAAAAAAATTGTGTCCCAAATAACAAAATACTTTTAGGGGTGGTTACCACTATACAAAGTAATTAATTTATTCATACTAAACGAGCCAACAGTTGAACCGTCAAAAATTGACGTTGGATGTGTAGGTCGTGAAGCTATAATCGGCCGGAATAACGTTTTCGGCCACCACGGTTTTCGAGGAGTCGGTCAACTTGAAGGAAAACGGCGGCGAAATCCCATTGAGGTTAGCCTTCCACACGGCACCCCAAGACAAAGTCATCGGGAGCCAATCACCATTCGTGTTGGACTTCCTCACGGCGACACCTGTCAGCCCATCGCCATCTTCGTATTCGATGGCCACCGCGAGATAGTTCGAGTTGGAGCCCGGGTCAACTCGGAACGCCACATTTGTGCCCGGAAAATTGCACGGAACCCTAGTAAATTATAAATAAATCTCAATTCAGATATATATTGAGTAATAATATATAATAACAAGGTCGTTCATTGTAGTGATATATATCAAGTAAAATATAGTTGGTCCATTCGCATGTGAATTTTTTCTTGTTTGTGATAATTACATAAATAATCCCCATTGTTTCCCCAAATTACAAATCATATATGCTATGCCATAGAATAGTTGGTCCATCATTAACTTGGTCAATTTGAAATGTTGACGCTCAAATCAAAAATAGTAATACGTAAATAATGTATTTGAGAGATTATTGAAGTAATTATAGTCCAAAATTATAAACATAAATCTTCTATTTGTAAGGGATAATGACACATGCCCCCTAGAAAAAAGGTTTTCTCAATCCTCATGAACTCAAATCTTCAAAAATCTAACTGAATATCACTTAAGAATAATTTCAAATTAACATCATCTATACTTATATAATAAGAATTAATATTTATCCAAAATAGTAGGTCAAATTATGGTCAATGTCGGATTTGCATTAAATATTTCCAAAACCGGTAAAGCTTTTGTCCTTTTCACACTTTTCATTAATTATGTCCTTTTCACACTTCTCATTAATTATGTCATTTTCACACATCTAATTAAATCATTCCATATGAGCTTTTATCGTTAAAATGTATAGCGATCTGTTATGACCTTATCCCATTGATATTTCCATGAAGCGTCCTTATCGCGTTCTATTTTTTGGTAACCACTCTATATCAATAACCGGATATTTGGTTAATGATAACACACGTCTTTATTTCAAGGAGCGGATATTCTTTGACCTTTAATTAATCTGAACTGTTTACCTTGACTTTTCAATTTTTAAAAACTCTTTTTTTATCGCACGTTGGTCTTTTCCTGAAGAACCCGTTTTTAGTCACGGTCAATTATATGTTGCTGCTTCGCGTGTAAATAATAGAAGGGGGTTGAAAATATTAGTTTGTGATAACGAGGAGTTACCAAATAATCAAACTCATAATGTTGTGTACAATGAGGTTTTTAATAATTTATGATTGTTACCGAACTTTTTATGATTCAACGATGTTCCTATGTATTTTAATGATTTCAATTTCGATCCTAATGCACGTGAGATTATATTATTCTTCCAAATTTTACATCTCGTGCATCGCACGGGTTACGTACTAGTATAATTTCATAACGCAAAACCAAATTAGTTTTATGGATGTTGCATCAATATCTGTTAATATTATAGTAAAAATGGTATATAATAGAAATACTAAATTTATAAATACATTTATCTTTATACATATATACTAGTACAGAGCCCGTGCAATGCACGGGGTGCACAATTTTATGGCTATTTATGCAGGCTTATAATTATATACATGAATAAAGAAAAATTTACGGGATATATATAGTACGTGACCCGTGCGAAGCACGCGATATATTTATTTGGAGAATATTATATTATAGGATGCAATATTCAATAAAAGTTTATAATACGCAAGAAAATTGTACAATATTCAATAAAAATTTTATAATATTCAAGTGGAGTCTTAAAGTCTTTTGTACATTAAGACTACTGACAAAATAATATTTTAATCAATGAGTTTCTTTTCCTTGTAGCCAAATTGTGAATGTAATTTGAGGAGTACAACAAATCGATATATAACTTACTTGCTTTTTTCATTGTAGTTTTTTTTTTAATAATGAATTTAAAGATATTCTAAAATATAACAAAAATTAATTTTTTTATTACAATCAGAAATTTTACTAAATATAGACTCTCAATCTATGGTGTTAATCAACGTTTAAGTCTAAAAAACAATAGAGTTATTATAAGTTTTTTTCTACATCTTTTAAAACATTAAATATGAGCATGTTAGGGCTAGCTTGTAAAATAATTAATATATTATCTCACTAAAACATTTATACTAATAAAAGTTCAATTTTAGCATATAAATTTATCACTTGATATAAGATAAAGGAACAGTTTTACTTATTGTTGTTCACCATATAATATTTAATTATTATTTTATTATATAATAAAAAAGAAATATTGTTAAATAGTGTAGTAGAATTGTTATAAAATTATATGATTTTTTTTTTACAATATAGATTTATATTTTTTTATGATTTGATAATATAAACAAATCTATACTTAACTTTGATAAATAAAACAAATAAATACTTTAGTAAGTATTTAACGTATATAATAAATTAGAATATATTTGGTATAATCAAATACCAAATATAATCAAATAAGTCAAAGTGTACATTTTTATTTGGTATTTGATTTTTTTATTATTAAAATATTTTTATTATACTTACCTTTTTAAAATAAAACAAATAAATAAATTAATTAAATAAATAAAATATTATAATACTAAAATAGTAATTGTATTTAATACAGTTGACTTTTCTAGATATTAAATGTAGTAAATAGAATCTCCTTTTATATAAGTATAGATATGATATTATATTATGTTGCTCAAAATAGTAATGCATTTATTGCATTGACTTTTCAACTTACTAAATTTCGTAAATGGTACACCTTATTATATAAGTATAAATTACTTTTTTACATAAGCATGTAAATTTTTCTTTTTTCTGGAAATAGATGTTTCGGGAATCAGATTAAGTTGACAACTCGTTCTACGGATAACATTTTCCCGTCAAATTAGTAGATTATATAAACTTATAGAAATTATTTCTTTCTCTCTATGTGGAGTATAAGATAGTCAGATTTACAAACGGGGGAAAAAACAAGAAGCGTGAATTTAGAATAAATAAGGTCAAACGCTAATTTTACGGGGCTGTCACGATATGAGCGTGCAAATAGGTTTAAAGTTACAATTACGTGAAAAATATGATACTTTATTGTCTGCTTGCTTTCCACGATCGCCAATTGACATTTAATTTCCTTTTCTTATCTATATCTGTTTCGGTAATTTGCAAAAAAAAAAAAAAAAAAAAAAAAAAAAATGAACTAATTTTCGCTAAAACTATAATAATACTGGTGCATGATGTTCCGCAAACTGAATTCAATTCATAGAAGAAAAGGTTGGTATTTTCTTATGGTGTTAATGATATGTAGTGTTGTGAGGATAAATTAGAGGTATGACATGTTAAGATCTCTAATTTAATTTTTTTAGTAATTAACAGTTTGAAAAAATTGAATTCAAAATCTGATTAGAAAAAACACAATATCAGAGCTTTTTATGATAGATAACCGCATTTTTTTTTTCTTAATATATATATCAAACAGTTAAAATGAGTTTATTTTTTTTTCAAACAACAATTATATTAATAACTTACCACGTGATTGTTTATGTATTCAACTAGTTTTGATTTGGTTTGTTTTTTAACTATAGTTAATTTTAAAAAAAAAGTGTTATAGTTAGTTGTTAGTGGATATATTAAATAATATTTAAATAAAATAATTAAAATTGATTTAATATAAAGTAAGAGAAAAATGATTGGAATTTAAATTATGTGAGTGGATGAATAGTGAATTAAAGTTGATGTGATGTGTAAGAATGATTGTTTGATATTATTTAATTATATAGATAATAATGAAAATAGTAGGGTTGGATTAATGTTGAGTTAAATTTGAATTTTGATTAGTTTTTTTACTGTTCAAACCATATCTAATTACCCCCTTAAAAACTAAAAAGAGTACACCCGAAATGTCAAAGTGACACACTGACACCAGAAGACTGGACCCACCCTCCTTGTTGACACATACAGCTAATCAAATTTGTTAATGCAATCAGTTCTCCGCTATTCATTAATTGTGCAAGTTGTCTTTTATCCAATACATGTCAAATAGAAGCTATATATTTTGCCAATTTTGGGTAAATGGAAACTAATATTTCCTCTGAATGAATTATTTAGTTTAGTTATTAATATTAGCATCTAAGTTAATAAAGTAAACATAAAAAGCAATCCACAAACCATGAACTCAGAATTATGGATCCATTAGTTTATTAGCAGATTGGTGCTAAATTAGAGTATTAGAAGTTATTATATTGGTGCTAAATTAGAGTATTAGATCTCTATTAGAGGTTATATATTGATCAATCAAACGTGCTAATTAATTTATATGATAGCGAGTTTATTTGATTAGTTGTTAGACCCAAAAGACTAATGTTGAAAAAGCTCAAACGAGCAACTTTTGGAGAAATACACTACAATAAAATGATGAAATTCCAACGAAATTATATTCTAATAGAATTCCACGGCAATTTCAATGGATATTTCAATGCTATCATTTTCGTTGAAATAATTCCAACGGAAATTCCAACAAAAATATTCCGTTGGAATGAATTTTCCATTAGAATTTCCGGTGGATTTTGACGATTCCAACAGTAGATTTTCCAACGGTGGTGGAAATAAAAATTCCAACGGAAATTCCTACAGTCAAAATCCGTTGGAAATATAGCCGTCGGAATCATCAAATCCCATCTAAAATTTCAATGAAAAATACATTCCACCGGAATATTTTCGTTGGAATTTCCCTTGGAATGATTCCAACGGAAGCTATACCACTGGAATATCCGTTGGAATTTCTATTGGAATATATTACCATAGGATTTTCCGTTGGAATATAAATTTTTTTTTTTGTAGTGATATGATTCAAAAAAAGGCAATACATGCAATGTAATATCTATAATTTTCTACTATTTACCAAATATTTATTCCAAACTTTTCTGAAAATCGAACCAAAAAATAAACGTTGGTCGTTTGACTTTCTCCAATCCGAACTGAACTTTCTCATACCATACCAAACTGAAATTATGAACCGAATTATAGCACTAAATGTATGTTGTTCACATATTTATGTCAACTTGAACTATATAAGTTGAGTATTTTTAAAAAGCTAAATAACATATGGTAATAATTTTATTTAAATTTTATGCTTAGTAATACTTAATTTACAATTAATTTTTTTATTTATTTTAAAAGATTATTTATATATATTGTTTGATACTTTTCTCAGTCTTATTTTTTCTTATAATTAAAATGATATGAAAGATAATATATATATATATATGTTAAATTTTTTTTGAATTTTCAATTTTTGTTATCAATTCCACTAATTTATTCTTTAACTAAAATTTTGAGTTACTTATGAAGTTGATTTCAAAATAAAATCTTTAATATGGTGAAACATTGATGAATATTAGATTTTTTTTTTCTAAAAGCATATAAAAATTTAAATATAACTAGATAGTCATTCAAGAAATTTTAAAAATCTCCGGAGCTCCAAACCGAACCGAACAATTCTTATAGTTCCGAATACCGAATCGAACCGAACTGCAAAATAATAATTTTCGAACCAAACCATCTCAATTTTTTACACGGTTCCAGAGATTGAATTTTTGGTACTAATTGACTGTCTTTTCTAATCCAAATACTGTTGTTGACATCTAGATAATTTAAAAATCCAATTCAAATATGCAATGGGATTATATGGATACAGAACCATAATCATAATTTTCAAAATATAGCGTAACAAAAAACATCAACTTTATTTATTATTAGTGAAGAAAGCCGAGAGGCTTGACCATTAAAAGGTCTCCTCTACATACATTCTAGCTCTTTTGCTACACCACTCATCAGTTTCACACTCGAGATACAAAAAAAGTGTGTCCCCCAAATAACAAAATACCTCTAGGGTCGGTTACCACAATACATAGTAATTAATTTATTTATACTAAACGAGCCAACAGTTGAACCGTCAAAAATTGACGTTGGATGTGTAGGTCGTGAAGCTATAATCGGCCGGAATAACGTTTTCGGCCACCACAGTTTTCGAGGAGTCGGTCAACTTGAAGGAAAACGGTGGCGAAATCCCATTGAGGTTAGCCTTCCACACGGCACCCCAAGACAAAGTCATCGGGAGCCAATCACCATTCGTGTTGGACTTCCTCACGGCGACACCTGTCAGCCCGTCTCCATCTTCGTATTCGATGGCCACCGCGAGATAGTTCTCGTTGGAGCCCGGGTCAACTCGGAACGCCACATTTGTGCCCAGAAAATTGCACGGAACCCTAGTAAATTATCAAAAAAATCTCAATTCAGATATATATTGAGTAATAATATATGATAACAAGGTCATTCATTGTAGTGATATATATCAATTAAAATATAGTCGGTATCTTGTATACCTAACAAGCTTTAAAATTTTGGGGTTATTACTCAAATTTGGCCAAATTTGATGGTTAAATTATAATATAGTCAGTATCTTTTACGCGGGGCCAATAATAATTGTTGAATTTGGTCGGACTTGGACAATAATAACCCCCGAAATTGTAAACCTTGTTGGCTACTATTGCAAATTTGTAAAAATAGTGACTTTAATACTATATTTTGTAATTAAACCTTAAGGAATAATGTATAATAACAATGTCATGCATTCTAGTAATGTCAAGGATAGGTGTGATGTTTGTAAATATATATATGTGAATGAATTCTTACGATTGATATTGAACATTGATGATTCCTCTGTCTTGAAGTGGTTGTTCTTGTCCGGGATTAGCCATTTGTCGAAATGAAGTGCCGCTTAAATCGAACAAGTGATTACCACCGCAGCCGGGGCACTCATCCGTTACTACCACAGTCACCGGTTTACCCGAACAATGTTCCGAAGTGCATTTTACCTATTTATTGGAAACAAAAAACATGGTAATTAAAAAAAAGTACTATTCATAAAAGAAAGAAAGAAAGAAAACAATCGCGATTTTACTTAATAAAATAATTATTTTGATTACCTGGTAACATAAACCGCAGCCATCGCCATTTTTGTAGAGAGGACTCGCAGCTGCAGTTATTAGAGAAGAAAACGGAGCCTTCTCGACGGCGGTTTCATACCCGCACGCACCACCTTAAATAATTAATCGTTTAGAAAAACATATATTATTATGTGATTGTCTTCAAAAAATATGAATGGTGTTCAGAGTTCGAAACATGTATAAATTTTTTTTTTTTTGGTATAAGAAACATGTATAAATTAAATATAGTGTAGTACGATTTTTGGGATAGAATGCATGGTGTTTCTTACTTTAAACGGACGAAGGGATTCAATTATATATAGTTAATTAGACATGCTAGAATGAATAATTCCCACAATAACAAAATTAAAGATGATGGTAAACTAATTATTTAATGAGCTAAAAAATGAGTCGTGCATGAAATCTAGCTTAACAATCGGTTAATAATTTAATCGCACAATTCATGATCGACTTTTTTTCGTGCATGAGTTATTATTTATATTACCGTCGCTTCCAGCACCGGTCTTCTCTCCATACCAAGTTGCTTGAGTAGTTGCCCATCCCCCCGACCCTGAACTCGGGGTCGAACTGTTACTCTGCGGTGGAGGTGGGGTCGAACCGTAACTTGGGGATGGAGGTGGGGCCAAATCATAACTTGGG